ACACTGGCTTTCCTCTTCCTGCTTATTTTGCATGTTTAGACGTTTCATTGATGAAAACAGTATTAATCGCAAGGAAATCCTGGGAAAGTTCATGTTCATCAAAGGTCGTATCGTTGAAGAGTACCACAAGTTTTGTAGTGTGAAGGGTGAGCACATGCTGGATGAGATTGAAAGCAGATGGAAGAGTCAGTAACGATAGATAACCACAAATTCTGAGATCATTTCGCAACTATCCGTTCTAATAAGTCCCAGTCATTTTTAGTTGACACCTGAATCGATGTCACTGACAAGTTCATAGATTTGAATCAGGAGCTAAGTAGTTGTTTCTGCTATTCAAGGTCTTCATTTTGCTTGACACTAGAGATCTGAGCATAAAGAAACTCTTTTTGGTGATGATGGCAGTGGCGGTATCAGAATTTGGGATGTTAACTATGTTAACTCTGGAAAAATAGAAATATATCGTAAAGGCGAGAACCAGAAGAAGACGTAATTTTCCTTACTTTAACTAATGACACAAGGTGTCTGACGAGATATTAAGTTTCTTAGTTGCTTAGTCTGCAAATAAATACATAGGAAAAGAACTTATGAAAAGAGTAAGGTACTTTTGTACTAGTCTCGAAATCACAAATGATTATTTTACTATGCTATTCATAAAATGAAATTTATTTGTATCAATATTTCAATCTAATTATGTTTTAAAAATCAATTTTTCAATTGATTTTAATTGTTAAAATTTTTTATCAATAAATTCGATATAATAGACACAAATAAAAAAAAATATTCACAATTATTTTAAAAATACAATCATTTTTATATAATTAACTAATTAATTTTAAAAGTTTTATATTTAATACTTTTATTACTTTTATTATATTCACTAAATTTAGATTATCACTATACTATACATACATTAGATAAATTTGTATTTATAGTAAACTCTTTATAAATGCATTCCCCTTGAGATTAGATATAAGAATGTATTTAAAGAGGGTATATATTTATAAAATACATATAAATCTATATAATATTAATTTAAAATTAAGGTAATATAAAAATTTATAAGTAATCTATACAAAATTTATTTATATATTATGCATTTACATAGAGTATATATGTATATATATAAAGTATGCATTTAGTACTAAAACCCAAGTTAGAATCAGATAAAATAGTGTATTTATAAAAGATATACATTTATAAATAATATATTTATAGAGTTAACTGTATATTAAATACTTGTGATATAGACTTAAATTTGTATTATTTATTAAATATCTGCAGTCTAGACTTAATAATGTGTGGCTAAACTATTAAAATTACATTTGAGATAAAAATTAATTTAAATAAATAATGATCAGAAAATGCTACGATAAAGTAAATATTTTTAATTAAAACTTTTGATGGATTGAACTTAAAAATTGATCCAAAAAAATTAAATTTTAATATTTCATCAATATTAATCTATTTGAGATAAATAACTACAGCTTTGATTTTTTTCATAAAGATAAATCAAATAAGTTATATTTTATTAATTTTAGTTTGCTAGTTTTGAAAGATTATTTGTTTAATTTTACTATATAAATATTTTAAAATGCGTATTATAAATTAATATATAAATACAATAGGCTTAATTTTATTAATATTAATTCATTTAAGATAAAATAACTACTACTCAATTTATCATATAGAGATGAATCTAATATATTATAATATTTTTATTTTATCAATTATTAGATATTAAAATATTTCAAAAAACTGTTTTTAATAGGATTTATAATCTAACCTGTAATCTGATCTAATCTAATATTTTAAGTCAGATCAGATGAAATATCAGATCTGATCTAATTCATTCAGAATTCTATTTCTAACTAATATTAAATTGTTCTAATTTTAAATATCAAATTGAATTAATTAATAAAACATTTCTAAAATTTATTAGTTAAAATTTATTATAAATTATTATTTAAATTTTTGCTACTATGAATTACAAAATTTTATTATTAAAATCATCTTATAGGATATTATTACATTATTTTGTAATATTTAATCAATTTATAACATTTAAGATTTTGTTATTAAAATTATTTTGCTTATTTTTTTTTTTAATGAAATTAGTATAACAATATCTTATAAAGTAATTTTCAATAAAAAATTTTACTGAGAGGTATAAGTATCCCAAACCTCTTATTTAAACACCATTTAAACAATTAATAATATTTTTAAAATTTTGAATTTTAGAAGTTTTAAATAATAATGTCGATCATTTCCAAATTTTATGTTGATCATTTCTAAATCTAATTGTAGATTTTTTGTGACTGATGTTACACAAACAAATGACGGGGCCTTGTTAATATGATAGATAATCGACTATAAAAATTTAACCAAATAAGTTCATATATAATAATATGAATCAAAAATCTCATTTTTGATTATAGGTCCCGTAAGGTGATTTCAATGGCTTAGCTCTTGGCATAATGTGATCCGGGTGAATCGGATGATCGGTATGACGACTAACTAGACGGTTCCAAATGATTTTAGAAATTTCTAGTTATAGAAAAGTCTAATCGCTTTTATATAATAAGTAACCCTTGTTAAAAATTGTTATAATAAATTTAATGAATAAACTATTAAAGGAAATGAAGTCATGACCGGGTCCTTAGAACCCGGTCCTAAATTTTAAAAACAAAGATTCTGAATTGTTTACCTTTTAATGATAATATTATTTACATAAATATAATTCCGGTAAAATAAAAAATCCTTTCTAGAACTAGCAAATTTATTGAGACTTTTAGGACTGCTTAAGATCTCTAACCTTGGCTGTAAAATATGAACAATTGACAAGAAACTTTTGGAGAAAAACATCCATCTTGATGAGTTGTTTGAATTTTAAACAAAATATTATTAAAATATTTTTGTTCAAAACGAAGTCAATAAATAAGCTTTAAATGGTATAATTCAAGTTTAATGTTAAACTTGTAATCATTATCTGTGAATAAAAAAATTTAACTATTTTAAGCATTAATATATTGGGTCAAAGTTCTGTAAAATATGAACAGGTCGAATATGCTTCGATCAAATTTTTCGAAACGTACTGATCTGCAAAAATCAAAATCGTCCATATGAAAACTTTTAATACATTTTGGATATTAAAGTGACCTTATGTTCGTTACGGTTGATAAATACTTTATTAAATTACGTTGTTAAACTTATCTTTTTGAATTTTTAAATAAATTTTTTTTTATTATTATCAGCATGATTTTCACGAGAAATGTATTTTTATAAGAAACGTCAATAGAATTACAATAAATACAAGGGGGGATAGTAAGCACAAACAGATGATCCAAGGCTTAGAGGTTTCATTCTTTCAGCAAAATTACCGTTTTGCATTTCATCCATGACGTGCGTGACAAATAGGGTTTCAAATTAAATTTCTTAATAATAACTGAAACACAAGGGGGTGAAACAAGAGATATCATCTTCCATAAAATTCACTGTGCGTCACTGTGGCACTTACATCAAATGATATAAAATGGTTTATAAATGGTTAAAAAAATATTCATTGCTTAAGCCGTTTTACTTGTTTAAGATTTTTTTTTTTTAACCGGTTACCGCAAAATTCAAAATTTTGGGACATCATCTGTCCTTGCTCGATAGGATTCAGTATAATTCAAAATACTACACCCCGAATCTAACGATATATTTTTCTTTGTCAAATGTGTACGTGCATATACTGCCGTGTAGAGGTTGGAACCGGTTAAAGATTTTCGGACCTACTGCTGTACGGAAATTAATTTATCAGATTTTGTGGATCTCTCTATTTTTAACACAAACTTTTTTGTAATTAAATTTTATCGTTTCTAAAATATGAGATTTATATATCATATCGTTTCATAACCAATGAATTAACTAATTTATAATCGGGAATTAAATTACTTATTATAAATCCACGCACGCAACATATACGTAGAGTGTGTCAGTACACTAGTACCCTAAAAATAATAGATTATGATTAAGGTAACTTTCCGGTAATTTTCAATAAAAAATCTTTTAGTTACATTTACTAACTAACTTTATCCGCTATTACAAATCGATTAAAAAGGTCGTCGTTACTTATTTCTCAACCTGATCTGAACTTTCCGCATAAAAGCGTGTGCAACTTATCGGTCCCGAATTAAAACATCTCCGCTCCTTTATAGTTCTTTCTTTATTTAGAGACATGCATGCATATAAATCAATCTCATTATAATTTGGCCTTTAAAGGAATATTAACTTTCGAATATTTTCTTTATATAATAAGCATAGCATAGCATATGTACTTCTTAAATGCTTAGCTTGACATCATTCTATGAAGAAGAAGTAACTTATTCAGGCTGGTAATTTCTTTTTTTTTTTTTTTTGCATAAATTTAATATCTAACATTGATCTTAAAAATAAAATTACAATGCTTTATACTACTCTTTATTAAGCTAAGCTAATAGTATTCTTTAAAAAAAAAGTTGATTTTTGAATACTTTTTTTTAAAAAGAAATTAAATCATTCTTTCAATGTGCTTGGGAACATACTTTGAAATACCAATCAAATATTTTTAATTGGCAAACTCAATATTCGTGCCGATGGAAATCGAATACAGTTAGTTAATTACCGCGCCTTGCAGCAATTGACTTTTTTATTTTATTTATTTATTAACGGTTATAAATTAAATTATTAATTTTGAATTTTGAAACTTTGAAGGTACATGCTTCTTGACTTTCCTAATTAATTATCTAAATTAAATTACTTTATAAGTTAGATAAAAAAAGTCGAACACGAAAGAAGGAGACAAAGATCCAAACAAGTTGGAGAATTTAATTCCATTATGATGAATGTTTAGATAAAATAAAAGAGAGAAAGAAAATATTTTCATAATTCGAGATGAATAATTTAAGGATTTTGTAAAAGTGATATTGGTGAGCCAGATAATCTTTTTATCGTATAGATCGAATCCGATTATTCTTTGCAATTTATTTTTTTATCCTTTTGCATTGTGTGTATTCTACACATTCTGTGCCAGTATTATTTATAGCATTTTTATTATTAATTAGGTTTGTAATTGCAATATTCGATCTTTCACTCGCTTCGTTAACATCATCGTTAACTACCGCCTTTTGTAATTTTTGATCCCGACTAATATGGTACTTTCTTTGCCATTTAGCTTTTTCAGTTTCTGATAGCTTTTTCCATTCTTCCGACACTATTTTGCTAAATTCTGTCATTGTTATATTAAGTGGTCGATCTTTCATCCTTTCTTTACGATATGAGATAAACATATTTGGTTCTCGTTTTCTGTTCTGCTTTTCTGACGTTTCTAACGTTTCGGGGTCAAAAAAATGATATGTCATTTCCTTATTGCCCATTGTTTAGGTTTTATTGCGTTTCAAAAAAAAAAAAAACTGTATCGATAAAATTTAACACACTTTTATAATTAATCGGTTGAAAAAAATCTGGAAAACAAAAGTTTCATTTTGAAAGAAAATGGTTACCTTGAAATGTTTATCTGATCGGATTTATCCGAAGCTTTTCTTTTTTAAAATTAGAAAATCCCTATACAAAGATATATAAACACTTAAAAATGTAATAGGTTTGTCTTTTACCTAATTTAAATTAGGAAGTGACCCATGCAATTGATTAACAATATTGATTGCGCCACAATAACTTCGCCATTTTAAACAATTTTCATTAAAAAAGCTATAAACGGTTTATATTCGACGTATCGCCACAAATTTAAAATGAATCAAATATAATTTCAATACAGCGTGTGTTACCTTTCGCCATAGGGGGGCGTATACATATATTGTATGAACAAATATGATTCAGAAAAAATTGAAGGCGCAATTTCGAAAATCAATAGTTTTTGGTGATTTCCAATTCTTTTGATGACTAAAACGCATTGAAGAGATGAAAGGATCAAGTCCGAACCTAAAGACTTAAAAAGAAAAAGGTTATTGTTCTTGTATTCATAAATGACGATCAGTTAGAATTAGCCACAGATAAATTTGACCAATCATAAAGGCAAGCCACAATAACGATATTATCGTATGATTTTATTTTATCATGTAATAAAAAAAAATGGAAGGATTCACTTTTTTAGGAAACACATAAAAGTTAAATTTGTTAACTTTTTTTGTTTTTATAACAAAATTTTATTTTTATGCGAATTGTACTTTTGAAAAACCTAACTGGAAAGAAAACCTTTATAATTTATTTAATATATTATATTCATAGAAGACGATTATTTTATTCAATAAAAAAAAGAAAGATTTAATGCTTCCTCAATTAACAATTATATTCATGCTATCAAATATTATTGCTAAAAAAAAAACTATTATTCCTTAATTATTTTGAAAAAATTACAATTATTCTATTGCAACACAAAATTAACCAAAATCAACCGCAAGAATTAGAATATTAATAAATGTATAAAAATTTATAATATCTATTGTTTTACTTATTAGCTTAAAATATAATATTGTATAGTTAACTCCGTGATATCACAAAAAAACCAAGATCGTTTACATCATACGGTGAGTCGATAATTGAAATTATTAATGTTGGCATTTTTTATAAGAATAATAGCCAAAATTGTACAAATGCAAAAAATTTTAATCCAGATTTGTGGAATAAGGGACGCCAAGAAAATTTGTAATTGAACTGTAAAGAATTAACTAAAGTAAATTAGGTTTACTTCGCCTTCGACGCAGCTTTTTCTCGTGTTTTAATGCGCAGTATGATATCATAGGTACCCCACACATATTTTCAAAAAAAAAAAACTGTGGTCTAGCATCGTGACCCATTATTGATTTGCAAAATCATGTTATGTATATCTCATGACTTGCAAATCATAATGGTCATGATGCTAGACCACAGTTTTGTCGCAAAGTTCAAAAAAAAATTCTATAATTAAAGTTTGATCTCCTCGATCGATCATGTTTAAACAAAATTTAACCGGTTAACCAGATTTTCATATAAACTATATGGTGACCTTTACAATAGAAAGGGGGCTTGAAATAACATCGTCATTTTTTATTTTTTAGGTAGTTTCCCCTGTCTTTTGCAAATTATTATTAATCAAATATGTAGAGTTTGTCATAAAATGTAGAAAATTCTATTCGGTTAAAGCCTTCACCCGAGCTTATTTCTGTGTGGCTAATTCCGATCTTATCCCTTATTTAGCTTGTAATTATCACGTGATACTTATTTTAAAGAAGATTTTTTTATATCATATAATATTAAGTTCGTTAAAGTATTGTTTCCGATTTATTTTACATTTCAAAGATGGGTATATAGCCTCTCAAAAATATTTAAATAATTATAAAATTATTTTTATAAAATAATTTGTTTACATCAAGATGAATCAAAAAAGAACTTTTAAAGGAAATAAAATTCACAAATTCAAAATAAAAAAAAAAAGTTGAAAAAAATTATATTTGGAGTAATATATAGATTAAAATAAAAACGAGTGTTGGTAAAAATTTATTTCGAATAAAGGAAAAGAAAAAAAAAAACTCGAATTTATAAATTTAAAGAAAAATTAAGAATAAAAAAATGTCTAGTTTCAACATTTTATTTCTACAGGTTTTTGTAATTTGTTTGATTTCGATCTATTGGAACATTCCTTTCCAAAATAGTTTTTCCATCCGGTAGGATCCCATTTTGATTCGCAACGGTTTCATATTCAACACGTTTTGACAGTTTTTCGTCTCTATTTATTTGATATTGTCTTTGTAATTCGGTTTTGTCAATTTCTGATAGCTCCTTCCACTTTTCTGACATCAGTTGACTGTATTTGGTCATTTGTATATTATTTGGTTTATATTTCATCATTTCATTACGATATGAAATAAACATATTTGGGATTCTTTTCTTTGGTTTCTCTTCATATGCTTTCGATGTTTGAGGCTCAAAAAAATGGAAGGTTATTTGATTGTTAACCATTATTTCATGTACGAGGAAGTTATGATTGCTTAACCAAAATTTTTCTTGACCTATTTATATGTAATTTGGAATAATTAATTTATAAATAAGTTTCAAAGCAAAAACTTAGCCATGAAAATATTGCAAATCGGATGAATAATCTCCTCTTTCAACAGTTCTTTTCATTTACACGATTATAAATCAACTTTGATTTCAAAGCATTATTCAGCCCTTTCATGTAATTGATCGACATACATATATTAGGCAATAAATGAAAGTATTACTCGGACTTTTTTCTCCTACAAAATAGTAATTATTCCATTCTAGCTAAATAATAGTTATTTCCACAATGAGTTTCAAGAATTCATTCTCAAATCAATTCAGCTTTTTAACTCAATATCCGGTTGACTTCCAACGAAGCCATTATATTACCGATTTTATTTATGAAAAAATTGGGAAGTTATAAACGTAAATAGAAGAATGTAAGTTCTTATTGTTTCAATTTTATTCTAAAAATGGATACTTTCAAAGAGGATACAGAATTTAGTGAAGGCTTTGCCTGACTAATCTCATATCTAACATTTGTCTTGTACGATTTTTTACGGTTTGTGACGCAATATTCGGTTGACGCTATGAAAGATTTTGACGATTTCTAGTCTCCCGACACGAATAAATTATGGTAATTGAGATAAAATTTTGTTGGAATTTTTTTATTTATAATAAGTAAATTTGATAATTTTAATTAATTTCAATGATCTTACCATTTTTGTAGCATAATAACGTTTATAGGGACATTATTTATCATGTAATCAAAATATGCGTTGTGGATTAAAATTAGGTTGGCCCAGGTCGTGCTTGTTTGTTTAACATTATTTCATATTCCCATTGTATGACTTTTTCTTTCATCATTAGCCGCATGTATAACATATGATTTCTCGCCATTGTTTCCAAAAAAAGCGAAATAAAAGATCGTCAGGCCAGGCTTCTATTTTTACTATTTAAAAAAAATCATTACTAGTTCTTAGTAATAATTGAAGAAACAAATACATGAACTTCACTACCAGTCCTGCAAAATTTCTCGTGAAAATCATCGACATTATCATTTGAATTCATATGCGTCGCGTAGCGTAGCATTGCATTGTTCTTATTGTTCTTTTTATATTAATCATAAAAATGAAAGGTTTACATCTGAATCGGTAACAATCAAAATTTATATTATTCGATTTGCTTTAATTGATGATAAGATAATGGTGGCAACCTCCAATTAATTACATCATCGTGGATAATTCAGATGTAAGACAAATTATGTGAGATGATGATTTATCTTTCGCTTCATATATTATCGAACGCCTAATAAAAAGAAAAATTTTGTGTCATATTGTAATGATGCGAGGTTTCATTTAATACCACTTTTGAAACACTCACTAAAATAACAATAATTAAATGATTGTTTACGAAATTATTAATTTGATGAATTTGATGGAAATTTCTAAATCAGTAGATCATAAAAGGATAAGAGAGCTTACCCTTGAAACTATGATTAAAAAGAAGAAGTACGAATCGTGTACATACTTTCACTGATAGAAATGCTACTAGGCCTGATTCACAACATATACCAGTAATGGTAATTTAAAAAGGTGGAAACCTATGCCAAATCTAGTGATGTTAAAAGTCACAATAAATTTATTTACAAGTTTTATAGACTGGCTTTTATTTTACTTTATTTGATTATGTACTAATGGAATATTGTTGATAGCCTTACTCGGGTCTTTATTTTGTGAAATTTAAGACCGGTCCAAACTTTGGGGTTTTCCATTTTTACTAATTATTTTATCGAATTTATTTTTTTTTTTTTTTATCAAAATAATTGCCAAATTTGTAATGATCTGAGTGATCCTCACTACACATCTACGAATAATAGGCCATTAATTCATCAAATATATTTATTTGGCGTTATACACGTTCATTTTTTTTTATTTTAGGTATTATATTTATAGAAATTACATCTTAATTATACTTTATACATGTATAAAAAGACTATACTGGTTTGCTATATACCTTTAGAATGTAAAAAACAAAAGGTTCATGTACGAAAGTTTTGACGAAGTAAAATTTACAAGTACAGTATGTCTAGAACTGATATAATGTATCTAATGTACAATATCTTTTTTTTTTTTATCACGAAACTTTAAATGCCATGACGTCTTATATTATCAGATCATTATTTTTCATTAAAGACAACATGTAAAAAAAATACTTTCCTTTAAAAAGATTGTCAACTCAAAAGGTGGGCAATTTTAAAATAAATAAATGTGAATTAATAAGATATTAACATATTAAAGTGTGATAACGAATTATTCATAAAGTCTAATATAAAAAAAAAAGAGATTTTTTTCTTAAACAACATTTAAAATATATTCTAACATAATCTTTCTAGGACGAGGCAGGACGTTTGGCGTAAACGAAAATACATCGTTGCCGTTACCGTTGCCGTTATTATTTCTAAATCAAAAATAACATAAATATTTTCTAATTTGTACAGTTAGATACATTATTTTCGAGCAAAACTTACTGTTGGGAAGTAGCAACTTGTTGAGTTTGTGGACGGTGTTAGCCGCAGTTTATACTGTGCCTTAAAATGATCGTCAACTGCGCCAAATATCATACATGTTAAACATGTAATACAT